AACGCAACGCGTAAAAAGACAGTATAAATCATTATAATCCGTAATAATGAGTTTGAATTGTGACTATGTCTATGACATCTAGTCCAACCAACGACAGACCAGGTGAGTGTTTAAGAAACCTGTTTGAAATTATTTTTACAATTCCTTTTGTGACACTATATAGTTGCGCAGAAATGACACACTTCACCTTTAAGTGATACAGGAGTAAGTCGGCTTTCAAACAAAACATTTTTGTGCTGCCTCAGATTGCAGTGCAATGTGACCGGGGGATTAGCTAATGATAGTGCTGCTTTAAACCAACTGACTGAGTGCTAAGTAAAGAAGCATAATTGCATATTTCTAGTGGTACCACATCCTCTTTCAACATTACTGTAGTTTAAAGCATCTGATTTCGGCATTTAATCCAGTTCTGAGGACAATGTTTATCATATAAAGCACTACAAAGGGTGCATGGTAGAGCACTGTGTCTGTTGAGATCTTACTGGAGAGGGGGATGGAGTAAGTGGAGTAATACTGCATTCATTTCTGGAAGGAGATGGAGAACCAGATGGAGATGTAGAGGCTGATCTATCTTCACCTGAAAGAGAATGAATGAGATATGAAGGAAGACATTCTATAAGTCTTTAGCTTAGTAAGTTGCTCATGGATTGTACTGGAAAACGCAAGTTAGGAGCTCTTAATTGTGGCTGAGCAATTAAGAGAAATCAAGAATTTCTGGAAAATTCCACATTGGCTGGCTGGGCATTTGAGCCCAGATGGCATGTGTTTACCAGTTTCAGAATTTCCAATGGATGGTTTTCATTAGAAAAATACTGCACTGTGGATCACATTAGATTATATAGAAGTTTGTATATGCTGATTGACCTAATACCTTTATAAAAGAAATGGAAATACATCTAGCTTACTTTTCACAAGTATATAAAGTCATGATAAAACAAGTAGAAGCAGCAACAGATCTTTTCCCCTCTTTTGTGACGTGCACAATGGCTTATCAAAAAGGCACTTTGTTCTATCCATTGAATATTAATTAGATTTTGGCATTACACTTAACAATAGCAGAGGATCTGAATGCCAGCATGTAGTTAGTTGTGGGCTTAAGTCATTGGAAGATCGAGTTATGACATTGAATAAAAATTACAGTCCAAAAAAAAACAAAACACTGCACCAACACTGACAAGGAAATTCAGGAGCAGAATTCCAAACATTCCATAATTCCTAATGTGGTCAAATTTACGTATATTTTCCAGTACAGAATGAATCCCATGGTAAATACTTTATTAACATGTAGTGACCCCTCCATCAAGGTCGCTTTAATATGCCTGCAAATGAGCACATACTCAAACATGGGTGGAATTTACTCAAGGGTATGACAGGAATGTTATCGACGTGTACAGATATTCTCAAGAGTGCAGAGCGTAGATAAGAGAGGGTCACACCCCTGTCCAGTATTGTTGATGGAATAGACAGGAATTACAGCAGAATTCCTGTGGAAATACATGTGGATGACCACAGGTTTCTATTCAGCTGTGCACATGTCTTCTGTATATACATTTTGGTTATATACTGTGCAAGTACTTGTTCATATAATAGCTTATATAACCTACATGGATTTGATTTTCTAAAGTCTTAATTACACTATCAAATCCCAAAGAATAAGTTTAATGAAATGTTACCTGGCACTTGTAGACTGCTGGTATTAAGCTGAAGGACATCTGCCATTGTAGAGGTCACAGGGCTTCTACAGCCTAGGAGGGAAAAAAATATCACTGACATGTACTGTAAAACAGTTTTTTCTTTTAAGTTATTACAATGGAAATAATGTTTTTTTATGATGTCAAATAGTACAAACTCAAGAGATCTTTACATTTTAAGACGTTTTTAAAAGAACCATAAGAAATCAACATCTTAGATTGCATTTCTACAGGTGCATCTCAATAAATTAGAATGTCATGGAAAA